GGGGGGGGGGGGGGGGGGGGGGGGGGGGGGGGGGGGGGCGGGGGAGAAGGAGGGAGAGAGAGAGAAACAGAGAGACAGGCCTATTCAAACTGGCTGCTTGGAGCCATGAGTCATATAAGCTATTCAAATTGGTTTATCACAGGATTCAAAAAGGTTCTCTTATCACTTTTGAAGATACCAATGCTTCAGGTATTTTGCATTTCTTCCACTTCCTTTGAAATGTTAGTCCTTTTATTTGGGTTTAATCTTTTGTAATCAGAAGTGTTATTTCAGAAAGAGGTGTAAAGTCACTCTGGTTTGTTATTGTGTGCTAGAACATTGCAAATGGAAACCAGAAGCCCAGAGCACAGCGGAGGAGGGTTTTTTACTCTTTGGAAAGTTATGCTGTGAACTAGAGGTGATCATGCAGTGTCTACGTTAATAGATAAGAAAATAAATCTTTTAGTGTGGTGATACTCTGTCCATTTTACACCTTTGAGACATCCTCGTAGTTTGAAGTGAATTAAAAAAGCGAACTAGTGGAATGCATGCTGTGTATTACTTAAATGAACCAATCGGCAACGTTCCCTCTCACGGTCTCTCGTCCCTTTGCTCGTCCTGCCTCTCACCCTTCATATCTCCTCTTGCTGTCATTTGACTTCTCCAGGTTTTCTGATTTTCTAAGTCTTTAAAAAATTAGACTGAAAGAACTATTTGGTTATTTCACATTTTTATTTATTTCTCAAGGACACCAATCACTCTGAAATATTCTCCCTGAAAAAGAAAAGAAGGAAGGAATGAAAAGAAAAAAGACAAAAAAGATCATGAAAGAGTAGTCACAAAAAGCTCCCTTAGTGGCCTGGTCATTGCCACTTGCCGAGTTAATTAGTTAACTGAATTACTGTATCAGTTCTCTACTTAATCCTTAAAGATTATATACAAATAATGTGTGTGTGTGCATATATATATTATGTATGTAATTATATATAAAGTGTATGTGTATATATATGTTTTTAAATACACAAGTACATTATTCTCTTTCCCCTACATTAATTTCTTCCCCATTTTTTTCATAAAGATATTTGCATATACACATCTTTCCCATAAGCATAAAATGGGTTGGGGAGAGCAATAATGTATAAGGTGATCGAAGGTAGTTTCAGTGACTTTGATCGTAAAGCAGCCATGAACTGAAAGACCGGAAATTGAGTTCTAACTAAATTCTGCTAATATTGTGATTTCAGCAGATCTCTTGTGGCCTCCATTCTCTTTGCTCTTTCTTTTAGGGGTTAGTATATGATGCTTTTCAAAGTCTCTCTCACTGAAAACCTCAGCAGAATGCCTTAGTCATTCATTTATTCAGCGAGTATTTATTGAGTCCCTACCCTGTTCTAGGTATTTCAGGTAAAGCAAACAAAGCAGCCACAAATCTGTTTTCTTTTCAGGTATAGATTTTGATGAAAGGAGAGAGGTACATGATTGAGTTGATAGGGAATATTATAAGTGGTTTTGGAGAAAAATAAAGCCATGTGGATAGGAAGTGCTGATGGGGAGGGAGTTGCAATTTTAAATGTGAAAAGTCTAAAGGAGGGAAAGAGTGAGTCAAGTGGATTCATAAGGGAAAAGCATTCTAGGTACAGGCCCTTAATTTTGAAGAGCACCAAGGAAGCCGTTAGCTAGAGCAGAGGTCTTCAAGAGCAGTAGTGTTACCTCAGAAAATGGTCATCTAAGGTCTTTTACTGGGAGTACTTTGTATTACTTGGACAGGCTTAGAGCTGGAGAGTTGCAATATCTGACATACATTTTAAAAAGATCACGTTAGCTTTTCTATTGAAAACAGAAGAGCAAGGGCTGCTGTGGTCGAGAGTAGAAGGAAGGCCACCTGTGACTAGGTTGGTGGCTCAGACTGAGCTAGTCACAAAAAAAATGGAGTAAAGTGGCTAGGTTTTTGGTATGTTTTGATGATAGGCCTAATAGAGTTTGCTGATGATTGGGTGTAACAGAGGCCAAAGAGGAGTCTAGCAGAGCTCCGTGGCATTTTGCCAGAGGAACTGAAGATATGGAATTACCATCAACTGAGCTGGGAAATATAGCGTAAAAGCAAGCTTCAGGAAGTAGTTCAGATTTGGACACATTCTGTTTGAGCTATCTAATAGACATCTGAATGAATATATCAAGTAGACGGTTGGCATATATGGGTCTAGAGTCCTGAGGAACGGTCTGGACTGGAGAAATAATTTGGGGAGTCATCAGCTTTTAAACAGCAGAGCGATCGTTAATGGAGTGAGTGCTGGCAGAGGAGAGGTCCCAGGATTGTGCCCTTACTGGGCAGAAGAGAAGAATCAGAGAAGGATACTGAGAAGGAGAGGCCAGTGAGACAGGAAGAAAATCAGGTGAGTGTGGTGTCCTAGAGGCCACAGGAAGAAGGGATTTTAAGGAACGATCACCTTCGTCATATGTTGCCAGTAGGTTAAATGAAATGGTGACTAGGAACTGACCATAGGAATTTAGCAAAATGTGTTGGAGGGATGGGGCCCAAAGCCCATTTTTTTAGCCACAAATTCAAGAGAAAATTGGAGAACAAGAATGGGAGTTAGTGAGTATAAACAACTTTTCATGGAGTTTAACAAGAAAGGGAGCAGAGAAATGGGCAGTAGCTGAGAGGGACATGGGGTCAAGAAAGGGCTTACAGGGGAGAGGAAAGATATCAAAATAATACAAAATATGTTTGCATGCTGATGAAATGATTCAGTAAAAGAGGAAGATGGATAACCCAGATAAGTAGAGAAATTTTAAATAGGCAGAGGAGTTGGGAAATATGCACATGTAGAGGGGTGGGCCTTAGGAGTGTAGAAACAGTTGATCCATAATGTAGTAGGAAGGGAGGGAAGGAAGGAAGAGGAGGGAGGCAGAGCACATGGGGAAAGTCTGGGTGGTGGAGGAAAACCGCTAAGGGAACTTAATGGAGGTTCTCTTCTAACTTCTTTATTTTGTTCGACATTAGGAAAGTGAGATCATCAGTTCCGGGTGGGAATTGGGGAATGAGTGTTGGAGGTTTGCAGACAAAGAAGAGAGTACATGCGCATCTAACAGGGGCAGCTATGTGGTAGGGCTGATTCTCGACCTGAGTCTTGTGGACACGGGGCGGTGTAATTCTCTGTGGTAGGAGACTGGCGTGTACCTCAGAGAATGTTTTATGCAGCCCCAGGCTCTACCCACGACATGATGGTTGCGTCCTTTCTCCTCCTCCCCTCTACTTGTACCATCCAAAAGTGTGTCCAGCCATTGGCAGATGTCCCTGGGGTCAAAATTACCCCCACTTGTTACCATGGACCTAAGGAAATGCAGTCTGATTGTCAGGAAACAGCAGCCTGTTTGAGGTTCATATTCATGAATTTAACATGAGATCATTCAGCATTGTTGTGTTATACTCACTGTGCAGGTACAGGCACAGAATAAGTAGAAAGTTTGATTTAACAAGGGTTGGCATTTTACCAGGTGAGTACAATGAAGAGAGAGGAGAAGAGCCAAGGAGTGATTTTAATAATTGATCATGGAATTTGTTCTGGGTGAGGAGGACAGTGAGGAAAGATGTCAGGAACACTAGATTATAAGTTCTTCTGGGGTCAGAGGATTTGGGTCATTGGGGTTCTACCAAGTGTGACACATGCTATGGATTTTTCGAAAATAACCTACCCTGTGCTGATGTGCAGGAAGGAAATCTCAGATGGAGGAAGTGCAGGACGAGCTCATCCACAGACTGACCATCGGTCGGAGCGCCGCCCAGAAGAAGTTTCACATGCCACGGCAGAATGTGCCAGTTGTCAATATCACGTATGACTCCACACCAGAAGATGTGAAGACGTGGTTACAGTCAAAGGGGTTCAGCCCTGTGTAAGTCTCTCTGGAAAGACTTTGCATTTCTGTATGTAACATATGCCTTACTTTCAGTTTGGTGGCTAAGATGTCACACATGACTCTTTAAAAATTTGGGGAGCCCAGACTGCATTTGTTCCATGCTCAGGAAATAACTATATGTATTTGTAGCTTAAAAAAAAAATGGAGGGGCACCTGGGTGGCTCAGTGGGTTGAAGCCGCTGCCTTCGGCTCAGGTCATGATCCCAGGGTTCTGGGATCGAGCCCCGCGTCGGGCTCTCTGCTCGGCAGGGAGCCTGCTTCCCCCTCTCTCTCTCTCTGCCTGCCTCTATGCCTACTTGTGATCTCTGTCTGTCAAATAAATAAATTAAAAAAAAAATGGAAGAAGCAGTTGTAACTATAATTTGGTGTTACCCTGTTTTCTAGTTAATGACTACATACTGGTGGTCCCTTAAGCAAACCATCAGGAGCTTTGAGGCGGTAGCGTTCTTTCCCCCTCATTTGGTCACTCAGGGTAGAACTAAGGTGTTAGCTGAACTCCCCAGATATTAGAGGGCATATAGCAGAATGTTCTGCTGCAGGATATAGATTCTCAACCAAATAAAAAACAGATAAATTACATATTACATATTATAATGTAATAGAGCTTTTCCCTTAGTAAGCCCATGGCAACAATTCAATTTATCTATAATCTAAAAATCTGAAAATACTTTACGTGTATTTGATACAAGGAACTATTTCAATCATACATATTTAAGAGAATTTTATAAATTCATATACCCACATGACTGAAAAATGAGATATATTGATTAGTCAGTTGCCTGGTTACTAGAAAGTTATGTGTTCCCCCTATGAAACACCATATTTCAGGGAATTGGTACTCCACAATAATGATACTAAATACAATTGGCTCCTTTTTGATACTTCATAATCATCTTCTATAGCCTCAGGGTCATCATCATGAAAGTCCTTTGTCACTGCTCTGAATAAGCACTGTGGTACCATTTTATAAGAGTTTTGTTATTTGGAACACTTAGAAAAGAGAGGTTATGGCAGGACCAGAAACTTTCTTCCTTTGTTATATATATATACATATATATATGTATATATATATATATATATATATATTTAACTTTTAATTTATTTAACTTTTATTTTGAGAGAGAGAGCATGAGCTGGGGGCGGGGAGGGGCAGAGGCAGGCTCAGTGCCCAGTGCAGAGCCCGATGCCGGACTCAGTCCCCTGACCCCGAGATCATGACCCGACCCGAAATCAAGAGCAGGACACTTAACTGACTGAGCCACCCAGGCACCCCTATCTAGATAATATTTTTAATGTTGTATTTCTCTTTCTTTCTCCTGTGCTTTTCAGGACTGTCAATAGTCTTGGAGTATTAAACGGTGCACAACTTTTCTCTCTCAACAAAGAGGAATTGAGGACAGTGTGCCCTGAAGGGTCCAGAGTCTTTAGCCAAATCACTGTACAAAAAGCTGCATTAGAGGTATGACTTGTCAACCTAAGTTGGTGTTTGCATTAATCAAGAGTGTGGACTGCAAATTGAAAGCTCTGAAATCAGCTGTTTATGTCCATAGTTGTCAATTTCCCTTTCATACAGAGCTGAATTAAATTTGACTCCACTTTTGTAATTGATCACTGGAGACCATCCATGACCATTTGCAGTAGATTAATTTATCATAAATGTTCCTGTAACATGAAGCTTGGAGCATATGCTTTTGGACATTTAATGAAAAGCCTAATGTTCTCATTTTATATGCATTAACTACTTCTGTAGGAATTTAAATTTTGACACAGTAATGGACATTCACTTCTGAATGAGTAAATGCCTTAAGAGGTCAGAATTTTTGCCTGTTCTTAATATTTAGTTTGGAGATTCTAGTAGGCCAGTGGCTACAAGGTCTTAAAACCCTGGCTGTGGGTCTTAGGTCTTGTTATATATCTAAATAATCAGAGGGAAAATATTAGGTAATATCCATTGAAAAGAGAGAGTGCTGAAGAATAATTATTTAGTCATAGTTGTCGGTGGGAAAGGACGAGAGGAAATGTTTTCTAGATGGAATATCCTTAAGCTTCCTCCTCCTACTCTTCTTAAAATGGGCTCTGTAAGGGTAGTAGTTTTCACTGTTATATCTCATAGCTCCTAATAGCTTTCATGAAATTACACTTCCACTCAACTGAAAGAATATTGGTTTTGGTGTAAAATTGATACATAATTTCTCCTAGCCAGTATATCCTCTAAATTCAACAGTGAAATACCTCACAGTGAAATAGCTTCATGCATGCAACCTTGTAACCACTGTCAGGAGAAAGTTTATTTCCTTGGAAATTTGTCCTATAACATTGATCTTGGGAGTTCTATATTAGGTGGATCTTGGGCATGTCCTGGATCAGGCTTTCCATATATTGAATATGATAAGGATTGTATCTTTTCTGAGACAGTTTTTTTTTTTTTACCATTATACATTTTAACTTTATTGAGAGTATATAAATTTCCTTCTCAAGGGTATGAGAGAAAGTTCCAAAACTCCTGAATTCCTTTGTGTCAGATTACATATAATTTGCCCTCACCGCCCACTTCTCTTGGTCTCTTCCTTCAGTTCCTCTGGATATGAACCAGGGTTCTTTATCTTCCTCAACTGCCCTCCCACCACACCCTTCTCTTGCATCTAGTCCATCTTTTAGATGACTCACCTGGCTTGCCAGAAACTTCCACTGATGAGAGCAGAATAATCAGGGTGCACAGGGTTAGTAGGTAGAGTGTGGCAAGGAGAAAAGCTGACATGAGGTCAGAGGGTCAGAGCCTTCCTGTATTCTAGAGGGAGCTTGCTGTACCCTGAGCCCAGTCTTTGAGCCCAATTTAGAATCTCCTAAGGGCAGATGAGTATCTTGCTCGACTTCAGAAGGTTCTTTGATAATTCGCCTTCATATTATGCTTACTGTACACATATCTTATTTCTCCCAGGGAATCTGGAGCATTCCACATATATTATTGATTTATTTTTATCATGGCCAAGTGAAAGGCATGGTGAATGAATTGCCTTAAGACACAATTCGTAAATGAAAAATGATTACTGTGATGTATTAGTGAAGTCCAGAAGCCTCACTTTATAGGAAGGACAGCCTTCTTCTCCCCAAGAGATAGTTGGAGAAAAGCAAAGGACTCTTACCCTGACCCATTTCATCACATGACCCTCAGCCTGCACAATCCCATAACTGTCTTGTCTGAACCATGTCTATTTTTCAGGATAATAGTGGCAGCTCCGAGTTGCAAGAGATCATGCGAAGACGGCAGGAGAAAATCAGTGCCGCGGCCAGTGATTCAGGAGTGGAGTCTTTTGATGAGGGAAGCAGTCACTAATTTGTCTTTAAACTCCATTTAAATCTGTGGCATTATTCCAATGTGCTTTGTTTTAAGAAGCCATGAAGGGAATGTCAGATTCTTACTTCTTGGAATCCCTAAGTTATGGCCATAAAGAAACAATGCAAACATAAGTAAGCAGAGGCCCATTATTTTTATTAAAACTGAATAATTTTAAATAGATGTTTTGCCCTCGGGGAATATTTTTGCCTGCTTTACCAAGGTGAGGGTTCTTTTATTGGATTAATTATTTCAACCCCTATCTCAGTGTGTAAGCAGGCACCTTCTGACAGTGGTGAACTTATTTACTGCAGCAAAACAAAGATATTTCCTGTGATTTAAAATCTAAATAATTTAAGTTTTACCCATGACCCTGGTGTGTCATTCAGAGCACAGCTTACTTTAGAGTAGCCTCTGCTTACTGAGGTCTCTTCTTTGACATACTCAATGATAGAATATTTAGATTTATTTAAAGTTCTTCATGCCAACCGTTTTTTAAAAAAAAAAAATCAAAACATTTAATGAACTGTAGAATACAACAAGGCCTTGGACATGCAAATACAGATTTATGGAGCATTCCCAAGACAAGTCACTTGTCATGGCTCTGTTGATCACAATTCCTTGTATGGCCTGTATTTTGATTTAGTTTATGTTCCGCTTATTATCTATACTGTGTTCTTATATATGAGAAAGCACAAGTGGAAGAGAGGTCAGATGCAGTCAAAATGTGTCCCAGAAAGTAGCCCGCATTGGTGTGCGTTACAGTATTTTGCTTAATGAAGGCCTCAGTTCTGAATATTGATAAGAGTAGTTAAATGGATATTGGGGCCACTTCTTGTGTTTATCTGTGTCAAGTTTTTCTGGTAATAAGAAACACTTAATTTACACATATTTTAATCCTGTGAAAGATTCTAGATAGAGAAAAGAAAGATACTTAACCTTCAACAAATGTTATTTTTGGAAACACAATTTTTGTCATTAAATGTTATATTATTTCACATATATAAAACAGATGTTATGTAAGAATGTTGTATATTTTAACATAAATCCATTTAGAGAGATTATCTAGATTCATTAATTTTCATAGTGCCTTTTTCACATGAGTCAGCTGGAAAGTCTGCAATAAACAGTATTTGCTGTATGGTAATAAATGGCTTCTGTCTTATTGGCAAAAGGGATCTTTGGTATGTAGACTATGGACTAGGGTTGTGCGGAATGGGGAAAAACAGAGGCCCACTCTTTTTTTATTTTTATTTTTTTTTTTAACTGATTTCTAGTACAGTTCAGCATCTAGTAAGAGCTGGTCTCAGGGTAAAAACAAATGTATGACAGCACTTAGGATTACTAAGTGCTTCCACAGAAATGCTTCCTTAGGTATCTATAGTAACTGTGTGAGCTATATTTTATAGACAAGGAAACGACTTCCTATGGTCTCATTTCCCCCCAAATTATGAGAGATACGGGAGTTGCTAATCTTCCCTAAAACGATGCCCCTCGGACAAAGTGAAACAAACACGAGAATGATGAAGGTCGCTAGATCTTTTCCATGTCCTAAGCACTGACACGCATTTATAACTTAGCCCTTACTGAAAGTCTCTGAAAATGTAAGGATAAGACAAGAGAAAATAGAAGAGTTAAAATAGCCTGAGTGAAATGTGACATATATGATATTAAAAGAATTGATGTAATTTATAAAGATGTCATTACGCTACGAAATTCCAATGGAAAACAGCACAGTGGTGGTGATTACAGAAAGCAGTTGCTTCCTTCAGGGCTGTGGGGACAAAGGGAAGAGATGGGATTCTCGGAATTTAGAATCTCGAGGGAGAGGTACTGCAGAGTTCGGATCCAGACATCTGGGGAGTTCGGTCCCTGGTACCTGAGAAGTTTAGAAGAAAGACCCCAGAGCTGGTAAAGAAACCTCTGAGAAGGAGGCGTGGCCTTTCTAGTGCTGTGACCTCAGGAATTCAGAGAAGGATCAGATCTCAGGAGACCATGCCAGCCAGCTGATACTCACACTTCTGTGAGGGCGTGATGAGGCTGCTCTGCGGAGTGCCGGAAAACACGAACTGGTAACTGGAGCTTACTGGGGGTCAGTTGCTACTTACGGAGTGAAGAACTGTGATTCGGGTGATGATAATATGAGCCGGAAGTAAGACTGAAGAAAGCAGGTGCCTTGTTCCCCTCTAGCTTCCCATCTCCCCACAGCATACTCTTTGGGCAGAATCTATTGAGAACACACCTGACAAAGCTCCAGATCACAAAGCTGAGAATAGAAGGATGGATTTGAAAAAGCTCAGTAACCAACCCATTCTAATTCTGGCTACTTAGTCTGTATACTTTAACTTTTCTATGCATATTTGAGATTCCATACAGTCCTCTTTAAAACTTCATACTTTGGCCTAACAAGAGGTAATCATCCTCCTCTGTTATTAAATGGCATTTAATTTAGACTTGGTTAAAAAGGCAAAAAACAAAACAAAACAAAAAGCTGAGATATCAGAGAGGTAGTCAGGATAGGAAGCAGCCTCCCCTCCTTGAGCAAAGAGTTGGTTTGGGTTTATCAGCGTGTTAGAAGCCTGGGGGAAGGGCCCTAGAAAGCTTGGACCCAGAACCCTGGGGGAAGTGCTGGTGTTGGTGCTGGTGTCTCAGGAGCACAAAGGAGAGATGCCCTGAGGAGCGGGGACAGAAAGCTTTGAGGAGAGGATTCTGGACCGTTGATGCTGGTATCTCTGAGAGGGTGTCCTGTTGCTGGTTCTGAAAATGTAGGGGGGGGGGGTGGAAACTAGAAACTAGAATCACTTGCTTCTCGAATAATTGCTGCTGCCAAAGTTGAGAGCTCTTCACTGGTGTGAAGTCATTTGGATGATGACATGACCTTTGTGTAATTTTCTTCTTGTTTCTTGGGATTGTAGGATTACAGTTTTTATTAAACTAGGCAAAATGTTGAGCAATTATTACCTCTTTTGGTCCTCCCTGCCTTTCTAGCATTGAAAGGGTCCAACTGCATATGTATTAGGCCATCTGAAGTTTCCCCAAGTTCATTAATGCTCTGTTAATTCTTCGCCCAGTCCTCTTTCTCTGTGTTTCATTCTGGGTGGTTTCTTTTGCTGTCTTCAGGTCCACTACTCTTGTCTTCTAGAATTTCTAGTCTGCTTTTAGTCTCTTTCATTGTATTTTTCATCTCAGACATTAGAGTTTTCATCTCTAAAAGTTTGATTTGATACCTTAAAAACCTTCCATGTCTCAATTTGTTCAATAATTCTTTGACTTTATCAATCAGAGAAAGCAGTTAAAATAATGTCTTAATATTCTTGTTTATAAATTTTATCATCTTGATAATGAGTAGGTTATTTTTTATTTTTATTTTTTCTGTATTATGGGTCTTGTTTTTTTGCTTCTTTGTATGCCCAGTGGTTTTTAATTGGATGAAAGGCATTGTAAGTTTTACCTTGTTGAATACTTTTGTATTCTTATAAATATCTCGTGCTCTGTTTTGGGGTGCTGTTAAGTTACTTGCGAGGAGTCTGGTTCTTTCTGACCTTGTCTCTATTAGTGGAACTTGAATAGCATTTGCTATTCAAATTAGCAAATTAGGTTTCAAATTAGGTTTCACCTAATTTCACCTCACTTTTGAGACACAACCATTTTGAGTACCCAAGATACTGTTCCATGAATTAGGATGTTTTCTGCTCTAGCTGATGGTAATAAGAACTATTCCTGGTTCTGTGTGATCTCTGACAGTTGTTCCTCCAAGCCTTTCAGGGCTTTCTTTCCTCAGCCTTGGGCCATTTTCTCATACACTTGTACAGATACACATTCAGCATAAGACTATGAAGATCCTACGAAGATCTCCAGAGCTCTCCCCGCAGCTTTCTCCTGTCATTCCTCTGTGCTGTGAACTTTAGCCCCTTTGTCCTTGCTATACTGTAAGCTTTGTGTTTTCAACTCAGAGGGTCTGCTTAACTCCACGTGGGCTCTCCCTCCCTGCACTGCAGGTTGGATGCAATCTCTAGGCAGAAAGCTGAGCAATTAGAGGAATTTTTCATTTGATTTTCCTCTTTAAATGATCACGGTCATTCAGTGCCCAGTGTCTAATATTTTGAAACTGTTCTTTCATGAATTTCATACATTTGTTTTTTAATTGTTTCAGGTTTAAATCCAGGTTCTCTGAGTCCATCTGGGCCCAAACTTGGCATCACCTTGCTTTTTTTTTTTTTTTTTTTTTTAAAGATTTTATTTATTTTACAGATAGAGATCACAAGTAGGCAGAGAGGCAGGCAGAGAGAGAGAGGGGAGGAAGCAGGCTCCCCGCTGAGCAGAGAGCCCGATGTGGGGCTCGATCCCAGGACCCTGGGACCATGACCCGAGCCGAAGGCAGAGGCTTTAACCCACCGAGCCACCCAGGCGCCCCCATCACCTTGCTTTTTAAAGTACACATTTCACGGAATACAGAAAACTAGGTTGCCAGTTTTTATTCTAGAACTTTAAAAGTGTTATTCCACTGACTTTTGGCTTCTGATCAGTCAGTCATCATTCTTGCTTTTCCTTCTGACTGTTTTCAAGAGTTTTTTTTCCAGTGTCTTTCATTTTCAGCAGCTTGATTATAAAGCTGAGGGATGTAGTTTTCTTGGTATTTATCCTGTGTGGGATTTAATGACTGAGTCCTGTTTTCCCATTATTGAAGCCCGTATTCCTTCTAATACTTTTTTCTCCTTTCTCTTCTTCTCCTTGGCCTCCTATTACATGTAGGGTAGACCACTTGATATCATCCCAAAGATCTCAGAATCTCTTAATTTTAAACAAAATTTTCCCATCTTTAGATGGGAAAATTTGTTATTATGTATTCAGGTCACTGGCTCTCCTACCCCTACCCTTGTGATCTTTTTTGCAATATGCTGTTAATACAAAAAAATTTTTTTCAGTTATTGTATTTTATTCTAGGATTTACATTTCATACTTTTATTTAGCTTTCATTTCTCTGCCAAGACTATCTATTCACTCATTAAAATATTTGTTTTGTTACCATAACGCGTAAAACTTGCTTTATAATCCTTATCTACTAAATCCAACATTGGGGCCATCTCAAGCTCAGTTTCTGTTGATTGCTTTTTTTCTCCCTCCCCACGCTGTGAGTTCTAGTTTGCTCTTTCTTTGCATGTGTAGTAATTTTTTATGATATACTTGGCATTGTAGAGATGTCTCTGATACTCTAGAATGTGTTTTCTGTCTTTGAAGAATATTTATTCTTGTTCCTACCAAGCAATTCTGCACTGGCTGCTCACTTTGAACTTGTATGGCTTTGGTTTTATACTTTGCTAGGATGGTCATGATGGCTCAAGTTGTTACACAGTGTCTTCTGACTTGATGAGACTTTATCTACAAACTCTCTCTTCTGCATATCTGGCCAGTGCTTAATTTTCGGCTTTGTCTGCACCTGTCAAGAGTAGTTTTTACTGGGACGCCTGGGTGGCTCAGTTGGTTAAGCAGCTGCC